GTTTGAAAAAAGACAAGGAGGAACAAAGAAAACCCTAAAATGAGTGGGAGCGCGGCGCCGAAATCTTGGGAAGACAAAGGATTAATTAACATTATTACTGTTATTGGGAAGAGAAAAAAATAGATTTTAATATTATTAATAAACAATTAAAAGAAAAAACACTCCTCTCTCTCTATTCACAGATTCAACTTCCTCTCTCTGTTAAACGGATTCCTCTTCCTCTTTCTGCAATTTCCATCATCAACCTCACACTCCCTCAAGTATCTCCAATTTCTACTCCTATTCTACATTCTATCGTCAACAACACGGCAACAATCATCCAGAAAATCTCTGGTTTTTCGCTTCTCTTAACCGCCGTCAAATCGCATCGAACAAACTCCAGCAGGTAGACTTCCAATTTCTCCCTATCTTACATCATTTTGCATGATTAATTGTTGAATACTTGTTTCAGTGCTTGTGATCTTTAACTGTAAATTCTGTAGCCTCAAATTTTCATCATATTTAAGCATTTTCAGCATCAGAGTCCTAGGTTTTCCTTCTCTGAATGTGATAGATCTAAGAAAACGAGTTGGAGGTTGGGAAAAGGAGAAGCTGAAATGAGATCATTTGTGGTGGTTATGGCGGAACGACAAATGGAATCATAGAAAGGGGAGGAAGACGGATACGCGAACAAGAGTGAGATCGGAAACGAGGCGCTGATGATGACAGAAATGAGAATGAACGGGGGAAAATCGGATGGAGGCAGAGCGCAGTTGAGACGACGAGTGAAGGAAGTTAGAGAGGAGGAAGGATGGAGGTTTAGCCGTGATGATAGCCGAAATGGTGAGCTGAGATTGAGGCGAGTGCGGTGTCTTGGGGAGATTGAGTTTTTTGGATATCAGGTTTTACTGTTTTTACAGGTTCTAATGTGTTGGTTTTATATTTTGACAGGTTGAGGTAATGGCAAGGTAAGGTTTTTTGACTGGATAAGCTGGTTAGAAAGGTTTAACAGATTCTAAGCTTTGGTACAAGTGAAGTGTTTGTAGGTTATATGTTGGTTTACAGGTTGTTATACTTTTAACAGGTTAAGGCTTCATGGTTTTTTACAGATGCTAAGCTTAACTGGTTTTAAGATGGTACAGGTTTCGGTTTCTAACAGGCTCTAGCGTTTTTGGACAACAAGTGTTTTGGAACAAGTTATTGGTTTCTAATAGGTTTCAAGATTTTGGGACAAGCTCAAATGTTTTGTAACAGGTTGAGTTCTAAACTGTTTTGTATTTGGTACTGTTTTGGTTTGCAGGTTATAAGTTTTGGTAATAGCAGGTTCAATTTTTTGATACAGCAGGTTCAGGTTTTAGGCAGCAGGCTCTAAATTTGTAACATGTTCTAAGTTTTTCTCAACAGGTGCTAAGGCTTTCAACAGGTTGTTAACAAGTTTCATATGTTGGTTTTGGATATAGACGGATTTATGCAGTTTGCAGGTTGAACTGGTTTGACAGGTTAATGGTTTGGGAACAGATTAAGCTATTTTGCAGGTTGAAGCTTAAGGTTTGGATGGATAAGCTGGTTAGCATCAAGCTCCAAGTTTGTAACAACAGGTTTTAGCAGTTTAACAGCTTGAGGTGAGTTAGGACGAGTTGAATCACATAAAGCAAGTTTCTACAATTTTTTATTTCTGATATTTTTAAAACTATTTTTCTTGGTGCTTATTAATACTAACATTTCTAAATGTTAACAAATTGCAGCAACTAAAAATACAGCAAGGAAAGTAATAATGAAACAAGCATCGTATGGCAGAAAAATGGCATAATAGATGGTTCAAACATGAATATATACAGCAGTATATAGGGAGGAGGAAGAGAATAATACCTATTGGAGCCTCTCCGATGGGGCTTCTAAAACCGTAAGTTTTTTCCTCTTTTCCTGTTTTTCTTCTTGCTGACTTTTTAGAACAAAACTCTATTTTTTCTGTTTTTTCACACTCTTGTTGGATTGTTGAACAAAATTCTATTTTTCTGTTTTTACTCTTGCTGAAATTTTTGGATATCTCCTTCTCTGCTGAATTTTTGACTTCAAAGCTTCTATTTATAGTGAAATGTGTGGGGTTTTAGGGGGGGAAAACAATAGAAATTTGAACAAATTTAGGCCCTGTTTTGATGTTTCATGGGATAGATTTTTGGGGTATCCATTTTAGTGCAATATTTGGAGCTTTGCATACTGTTTTTATAACAGTAAAATGTGCAGATTTTTGTCTTATGGGCTGCATTCTGGGCTGTTTTGCAGGGCAGATTTAGACAGCAGCTTGGCATGGTTTTTGTTGACACAAGGTTGAAGAAAATGGACAGCACTACACTCAAAAATAGTGGACTGTTATGGATTAATGTAGTGCTGGAAAGAAAAGACAGCATTGGGACTGTTTTGCAGCAAGAATAATAGATGATTTTCATGTACAAAACTTGTATTTTGTAACTTTGTAACAACAAGTCCAAATAAATGTAACATGAATAAACATGTATTCTTCAATATATTCTCAATTCTCTTTTGTAATTATAAATATCCTTGAATCTTCATATAATCATGAATCTTGATATGTCTTGATAAAAATTCAAAGTCTTCCATTTGAATTGGGAAAGAGTTGAATAATACTTGAAAAAATTGTTGAATGATGAATAAATAATAATGCAAGTCTTAGACTTTAATCTTGCATTTTTGCAATAGAGATCCAAATAAATCACATGAATTAATTTTGTAATCAAATAGAATTCCTCATGTAATTAGTCTTGTGATGACCGATTAATTGTACCGAATTCCTTTTCCACTAACTTCTTGAATAAATGCTTCATGTATTTAAAACCATGATGTAAGTCCACCAAAATAATCACAAAAATAATCTTGAATAAATATTTCATGCGATAAATGATTATTCTTGGATGAGACTCTTGATAACTCCTCTTTAATTATCACTTGAATTCAAATAAAGAATATTCCGAATAAATTCTTCTAGAACGATTTTGAATTTAATCATCCCGTTTTGGCGAAATTCAACCCGCGTCATGAGAAAATTTGTAGATGACTTTGGTCGAAGAAATCGAAAATGACGGTGTAGCCTGGTTTTCTTGTATTTAGAATAATGTGAAACACACATGAATCGAAGACAGTAGAACTTCGACCGTTCTTTCTGAAAAATATTCGGAGAAACCGGAGACCATCTGTTGGACAGAGTGTGGAAATAAACGCACAATTCTCTAAAATTATTTGATGAATAAGCTTTTGGAAATTAACGAACGGACGAATTTCTGTCCCAAGACCCGAAACCCTAATTGATGTACGACGTCTGATGCTCTTCTTTCAGACCTATTTCCTGCACATGAAAACAAAACAACAAAACATACACTTCGTGCTTGATTAGTGGTTAGTCATTCATAAGATAAAATGCTCACAACACTCGATAATCTCTACATAGTCAAAGCTCGAAGGAGAAACGTTTGAAACCTACCATATTCTGTGACCTTGATGTATATGTAAAATAATGTAGATGAAACAGGGATCTTAGGTCAAAAATTGGGGTATGACAAAGACGTCTCCTCATATAAGTGCGCTTATCATTTGATCAGGCTTAATGACTATTACATGGCGTTCGTCCACTCTTCAGTTAACCAATTCAGGTTTTGTTGAATCATGGTTCAAAAGTTCGGTGGGCGCGCAAGCTAGGGTTTTTACAATTGATTGAGGTGTATATGTTTAATAAGGCTTGATTCTTCTGGTTATTTTTCAAGGAAGTGAAAGTATGGAATTAGGGTTTGTGGATGTTATAGATATTTTCTTCATCAAGCTACAAGGTCATCCTCCATCAAGAATTCATCAAACACAAGGTTCATTGAGCTTCATATTACATTTCTTTCTATACTTCAAGGCGCCCTCAAGACATGGTTGTTATCCATAGAGTCAATATATAGTGTGGATTATATTGCAAAATGCAAGCCATGGTACATAAGATGAAGTTGCGAGGTCATGGAGTTTAAAACGTCATCATTCTTTCAAACCCTTGTTGCTTCAATTACAAGTTAACTAGGATTTCGAGAGAAATGAGATGTTAATTTGGATTCATTGAAATGTCTAATTGTGCTCAAGATTAATATTGGTTCAAGATCTCGATTTCATGATTTGTCAATAGTTGATTCAAGATAAGATCGGAAGATTCATGTAGTTCAAGTTTCCATCTTCAAATTCACTTAATTCACCTCCCATTATTCAAATCTAGGCATGACATATAAATATATTTGGACTCAATTCTTTGTGAGATATCAAATTGGGTTCAAGCTTTGAAGTGAGGCGTCCGGGGATAAAGTTCAACATCAATTTGGGAAAGTTAGCTTTTGGCCAAAGTTCCATTTAAATTTATGATTGTTTCATTCAAGTCACAAGCATAATGAAGGGAAAGTAATTCAATTTTGAAATCAAAGTCTCCATCATAAAAAGAAAAAAAAACATTTCAAAACATGGTAGCTCATTCAAGTTCATAGCACAAAGTTGAATTTCAAATACATACAACATCTAAGTTCCATCCAATTACATTCAGAATTACATAAATTTTTTAGCTCTAAGCCTAATCCTAAACCTATTCTTCAAGTCTTCAAGCTGCTTTGTTTCATCTTCATGATTTAACCTTCTCTTGTTCCCTTCAAAAATTCTCCCCAAGCTCCAAGAGCCAATTGAATCATGTCAAGACAGCCCTGTACGAATTCAATCACCAAATTCCAATCAGTCACAAAACTTGTGGCACCAAATAAACAACCTGCATCCAGTGAACTATTCTAGTCATCCTACAACACAAAACATCTTCATCATTAAAAATTAGAAAAAATAGTTCATTCATTCATAAAATTAAAAATGGCTAATGCATAGCAAAATCGATTCAGTCAATCACATAGATTCAAGTTAGTTTAAATATCCATTTCATAAACCCAATCCCCCACATAACAATTTTTAACAGCTTTAAACTAACAGTTATCCATTTATTGATGTTCCTAACGGTAAGGCCCTGTCAGTATTGCCTATTCTAATTCTTTTTCACACTAACAATTAACTAACAAAAATTATAATCAGAACTAAATCTCAATTTCATTCAAATCTGAAACCATTTCAGCTAATGTTCTTGAAGAAGCTTTGAATGGCACAGTTATTGTCAGAACCCTTCCAATTGGAACATCAGTTAGTGGAAAGGTAGAGATGTAATGTGCTCATTTTTTTTGGTGTGACAATAAGTGAGCAGCAAGCTCGGTCAGGAATTGTAGTTAGAATTACTTCAACTGCACAAAGCAAATTCAAGTTTCTCTATTTCGAATAAGATGCAAACGGTGTTTATGGTTTGGCCTTGCAGAAAGATAGTGAGAAGACTGGGAAGGTGACATCTGCAGGAATGTACTTCTTACATTTTCAAGGGTACAGAATGGATTCAACCGTGAATGTGTTAGCAATGGAAAAGGATCCTGAAGGGGCTTTCTTTAAAAGGGTGGAAGGTTTTCAACCTTGTGAAGTATCGGAACTAAATCCTGGCACACATATATTTTTTGTTTATGGAGACAACTTCTTTAAGACAGCTAGCTATACAATTGAAGCAGTATGTGCGGAAACACTTGAAGATACCACCGAAAAAATTAAGGATGTTGAGGCTCAAATTTTAAGGAAGAGGAATGAGTTGTGCCAATTCGAAATAGAGTATAGAAAGGCATTGACATGCTTTTAAGAAGTGATAGACAGGTACACAAAATAAAAACAGTATGTAGACGAGCTTCTGAAATAAAGGGATGGTATCCATTCGACCTTCACCATTGTTAAGCCAACCAATATTAGTGGAAATGGTAGTAATTTAAGCAATGGCCATGTTACATCTATAACATACGTGTATCAAGAAATTCACAAGAATTCAATAATTCAGAAGATATTAGAAATTTCAATCCAGTACAGTAAATCCTAAAAGAGGGAAAAACGAGTTTTAATTGGAAGATTCAGTTCAAATACATTCAGGCCAGGGCGAGTGGAAAAAAACAAGAAAAGATCAAATCATTTGAAAATAGGACTAACTATTAACAAAGTTTCTTACCGCTTAACTAACTTTCCAAACCATGACTAACTCCAACCAATTCCTAACTATCTCCTAACAACCTATAACTGTCTAACAAAATTCCGTAATTGTTTCAAAACAAACTAACAGCCCTGTAACTACCCTTAACCTCTTTCATAACTCCCAAAACAAAATACCTGAACCTCCATCAACCTTTAACAGTCCAACAAAATTTTAACCAACTTCTAACAACTTCTCAACAAAAAAAGGATATTATAGAATAACAGAAAAGAGGGAGGGAGAATTCTCAACAGAATTCAGAAGAGAAGGAAAAGTAATTTCACGATTCAGTTTACACAAGAAAGAGAAATCAGTTAGAGCACTCACCTTTTTCAACCTCACTCTCTGTATGATCTCAAAAAGATCCCTCCATTCATCAGCTTCATCTTCAACAATCAACCTTCATCCTCTGTAACCGTTCTTCAACCCCTAAATTACTCTCTCGAAAATCTCTCACAGACACTCTGGAATTCTCTGCAGAAATCTCTCTACTTCGATTTGTAGTACCCGAACCTTCATATTCCTTATCTTAGCTCCATGCTCCTCACGCAGATTCACGCTTCATCCGCTGCACCTTTAATCATCACCTTCAATCATCAACGTTCCTCATCAAGAATCTCCATCCTTCACCAGTAACTTCGACAGTCCACAGCGTAATGCTTATCCGCATTTTCGCATCATAATTCGCGACGTCGACATTAACACGCTGCAACAACTTCCTGTAATGGGACACATAATCAACAATAACATCACATAATTGCAGAAGTTAAGACAAAAATAGAAGAAGAAGAAGAAGAAGAATAGATTGGAGAATTGACCTCCGGATTTCTTGTCGTTACAACGATTAAATAAGCACCAGACAGTTCTTCCAGTAAGTAGGCAATGCCAAATTTCTGTACTTTATTCATCTATCTTCTTTTCTTGACGAGAATCAGAAAAAGGTGAAGGGTATAAGTAAAGCCTCAAAAATCGTCGCATGAATCGTTGGCATATTGAGTACATTAGGGCTTCTGTTCACGGCGAATTTAGAAAGGAATGTTTGATCTTGTTGCAAGCAGACAAAGGCGATATTGTGAGACGGCGACAAAATTGAGAGGACCGCGCCACTGTCTTGCAATCAGGGAAGGCGAGGAAGAAGAATGGTATTGGATACGGACGGCCGCCACGCATTGATCGAACGTGAAGGTTGTGCGGCGGATTTTGTTTTCTCTTGAGAGAAGGTGGATTTCGCATTTGAGAAGTTTAAGAGTCACAACCCTATCTACACCAATACTGCATCATTTATTTGTTTTTGTTTATAATTATTTTATTTGTTTTTAATCAAAACAATGGCTGAAATTTGGAAATAGTGTTTTTGGATTGAGAATGTATCTTGAGCTCATGCGCTGAACTGCCTCCCATAAGCCCATATCATTTTTTATGACCAATGAGCTATTGTTACAAAAATAATCCATTGGACTAATCATGATGCCCCTAGCGCCTGAATTGTTGTTTGCACCCCTGGACTGTGTCTTGTTGTTTATTATTTTAATAATTCCTTTTAACTAATTTTGTTAATTGTTTAGACTTGTTTGAATTTTCTTTACATGATAAAAATAATAAAATCAATAAAAACTTGTAGATTTTTTATTTTAGTTTTAGGAAATTAAATTCCGATTATCCGATTATATTTGAGATTGGTAATTCACCTTTGCTTGTTGAGATTTGAGTCTTGTGCAGGTTTATTGTGTGATGTGCGGATATGCTCAAGATTTCGATTGTGATTTATTTCCACATCAATGATGCTTTAACACTTATTCTGAGCACTCAATTTCTGACTCTTTTCTTTGATTGGTGAAGCTTTTTACGAAGACCGTCAGGTTTATTTGTTTTGATAGGCTCTGCTACGGATTGATATTTGTTTTGTATTTTCTCTTGTTTATTTCATTTTGCACTTTACTTCTTTCTAGATATCATGAGAAGTAGGAAATAAAGAGTGTGCGCTCGAAGTCGCTGTTTAAAGACATGTAGCAGACATTCCGCACTTCATTTGCTATATGTGTTGTGCTTGTGTTTGTTTCCTTGGTTGTTGATCGATGAGTCACTCAATTTAATAATTGATATCACGACTTTGCTCTCAGTGCATGCTCCCTATAGGATTTCATTGATTTCCTTTATTTCTTGTTGATCGATGAGTCACTCAATTTAGAAATTGAGATCACGACTTCGCTCTCATTGCATGTTCCCCATAAGGTAACTTTGTTAGACTTTCTTTGGTATGCTAGCCTAGATAGGATCTCTCTAGGTGTGCTCTCTTGAGCTTATTGGCTTGCTTGTTTGATTTTATCTTTGTATGCCTGTTTTGAGATGACATACCCTTTGCATGTTCCCTTAGGAGCTCTCGATTCAACTATAGATGATGATTCAAGATAGACATAGTTTTAGGTGATAGACCCTTGCTATGCTCCTTTAGGACTTCTTGATTCATCTATAGATGATGATTTGAGATAGACATTAGGATTGTTATCCAAGCATGTCAATGTAGGATATAGATTTCCCTTTAAATCTCAACTTTAGGATCAATCATTGTATGATAATATTAGGGATAGATCCAGGTTAGTCTCCCTTAGATGATTTTTATTTTCCTTTGCATCCTTGCATTTAAAAAAAAAATTCCTTTTTCTTAGCAAATGCATAAAACATCTAACAATTTTCAAATCCTTCTTTAATGTAAAAAATACCAATCAATGCAAAATCTTTTGTGCCTTCGGGCTTTTCTTTCAAACTTTTTTTCAGAAAGAATATGTCAATTCACTTTTGTGCTGATGCGTAAGTCCCCAAAGGTCGAGTTGTGGCAGAAGGCGAAATTAATATTGTTCATAAAAAATACAAACCAACAAAACTTTTGAAGCCGAACTACGGCTGCTCTGATTCCTTAAAAGGGATACGTAGACATTGGGGTAGGGCCCGAACGAGAACAACTTTTATTTTCCCTACATTCTTTTCTCCTTTATTTTGCATGAATTCCCTGTATAGTTTAGATATAGATTCTTACACACCCATAAGATAGACAACAAGAGTGGATACCGTAGAGTATTACAGGCGTGTGGGGTTCTAATACCTTCCCCTCGCGTAACAGACTCCCTTACCCATATCTCTCGGTCGTTTGATCGTGATTTCACCCTTCTCAGGTTTACTCGCTGTTTACCTTTCCCTTCTTGTGGGATAAAAAATGTTCGATGGAGACTTTATTGATTTCATTATCAGTTGATTATTCTGCTGGTTGTTTCACCTAGCTCCTTCAACAGATTTATTAACCACACGGTTTGGTACACACGACAAAGCGGCAATGTACTCGGCCTCACGAGAAGAGAGTAATACTACTGGCACTTTTTTCGAACACCATGAGTAGATGTTTCACCAAACATAAAAATTGTATTCAAATGTAGACTTTCTATCATCTTTATCTTCTCATCAATTGGGATCGGTAAAATTGAGCAAATTACATTTTCAACCTTTTTCCATTGTGTGAGATTGAATTCCACAACCAATAGTTCCTTTGATGTATCTTAGAATCGTCTTGACTGTTTCCATAAGAGGACTCACACCGTTCTCGATCACTTCAAGAACATATTGAGAGCCAAACAACACCTTCATTTTCTTACACCATTTTTCTTAATTCTTTGCATCAAAGATGGGTACGTTTGTATGGATTCTTTTATTGGAAACATAATTCATGTTGCGCACTAGGTATTTGGTGGATCGAACATGGCTATTGGTGCCAAGTGTTAGAACTTGGAGCCACAAGGTTGGTAAAAATGAAGTAATTATTGTGGCAAGGAAGAAAGAGGGAGAGAATTAGAGAAAGTATAATTGAAGGTGATAATGCATATTGATTTGAAAAGTGGAGAATTGACACGTTATAAGTGAGAGAACCCTCAAATGGGGAAAATGAGTGTTGAGGTTGAATGTTGAGAAAAAAAGTGTGGGGGATCAAATGGCAAAAACTCTACACTCTCAAAAATCAGGAACATCTCAAATTAAGAACTATAGTGGAGTTTAACAGCGTTGCTTGCTAAACAAGTTTTGAGGTTGCACACAAATCCTAATTCTCTTGTGGCTAGGGTGCTTAAATCTAAATACCACCCTAAGAATTACATTCTCAAGGCAAAACTAGGTAGAAGCCCTAGTTACCTATGAAGGAGCATGAATAATAGAACTGACATCATACAAAGAGGAAGTTGTTGGTGCATTGGCAATGGAAATTGGTAAACATATGAAATGATAACTTGATTTCATCCTGGTTTGGGCTCAAGATCTACTCTACTAAACCTAGGGGACAGTGTGCCAATATTGTTGGAGAAATGATAGACAAAGACAAAGGGTGATAGAACAATAATCTTCTTAACTCCTACTTCAATCAACAAGACACTAGGCAATTCTCAACATCCCCCTTAACAACTTGGAAGATGAGGATTGGTTGAAGTGGATAACTAATAAGAATGGAAACTATGATGTGAAATATGGATACTACAACCTTAAAAAATGGAATAATAATTTTCAGGTTGGGAGTTCGGATACCAACTATTTTTATTTTCATGGTTGGCTAAATTTTGGCTAAGCATGTTTCTAAGCATGGTTCTATGTTGGTGTTGAGTAAGATGGTGTAACATCTTTATCAACTATCATAACAGGTTTTACTGTTATGAGTTTTTCTGCCAGATGTCATAAAATATATTATGACATCCTAAGGCTGATGCAGCAGACGCTGCTTTTGGATATCCTTGAAGATTTTATTTGAAAATATGAGTATCTAGAATATTTTGTACTCATTATAGGCACATGCCAATTAAGGCTTTTGTTAGAAACATGTGCAAATTTGATTGGTTACTAAAAAGGATCGATTGAGACTTTTTAGAAAACTATTTATGAAGATTGTTTCTATTTTTGTGGAGAATATTCTGCAGAGATTTTTCAGCTGAAGATTGGAGTTGATTGAAGAATCCAAGTCAGTCCAAGCCCAACTGCAAAAGCTTATATAAGGAGTCGTCCAAGACCTAGTTTTTTAAGCATTGTTTTTATTGTAAAACCTTGTGAAAAATAAGGGTTTAGGGTTTTATAGTTCCTTAGGTTCTTCGTTTGTTTTTTTATGTCTTCATGCATCTCTGATACATTTTAGTTGACTGATTGTTGCTTGTTCATCAAGCTATTGTTCTCCTTGAAGATGTGAAGAAAGAGTTGAGTATTATTCTTGGAGGAAGCTGAAGAAGTGAAAAACACAAGAAGGGGGGTTGAATTGTAAAACTGAAAATCAATTACAATGAACACGATATTTTTATCCTGGTTCGTTTGATCTCAAACTACTCCAGTCCACCCGTCAAGGTGATTTCGCCTCTCTCCAACGAGGTCTTAATCCACTATATTCAACTGAATATTACAAACTGCTTTAACAACTGCTAAAGCCTTCTTGATGCAAACCATAACCCGGTTTGTCAAGGAATCACTTTCTTACACAGAATGGAAATCTAGGTGTGTGAGTGTTTTCTACAAAAACAGTTTATCACAACTGTGATATTATACAACTTAAGCTTATGAAACTAGATTGCTAAAATACTGAGTAAGGAGATATGAAGCGTTTAGCAAACTGAGAGAAGGAAGATGACGATTAGCTTTTAGGCGTGTAATATAATGTAGAGCATTAGCCAATTCAATCTTCATTGTGTTGTTTATATAGCACTAAAATTGTTGAACGTTGGAGCAATAATCTTGATTCAATGCCAATAACAAACTTTCCTTATTGAGCAGATCTTGTCTGGAATGATGCCGTTGGTAATAATTCTCTTTGAATGCACAGTACCGTTGCTACTTAAAGCGTGTTCTGGCTTGGCCTCATTCTGACTCTGCTTAAGTGCTGATGAACTGTTGTTGTCTTTATCAGAGTGTTGAGCGCAGTTCTGTTCATCAAGCTTCAGCATACGCGTGAGTTGTTCTTCTGATTCTGGTATTCTGATTATAGCATCTTCTGATGCTGACGTTAATAACCAATATTCTGATGCTGATTAAGTGTACTCCTTGCTGATACCTATCAGAGTTTCTGCAAAACAGAACGTAATATTTTAGGTAGCAAATAGTTCTTATATTAATCACATAATTAATATATCCTTTCATTTTGTTATCATCAAAACTTAAACTTAGGGTAGTAGATTCAAACTTTGTTCTAACAATCTCCCCCTTTTTGATGATGACAAAAACTA